TTGTGTTCAAGCGTCTTGTGTTCGGCACGGTTGTTTTTGGGTGTCTTATTATTGACTCTCGGCAATCTTGCAATCAGCTCTGTACGGCGAGACTGAGGGCGAAGCTTTATGAGTGATTCATGTGCGAGGCTTAACGGAGCCAAGCTTCCGGACGGATCCAACTGCAACCAAGCGTTACAAACAGTCACACGTCAGTCCGTGGTCTGCGATTCTCCTACCACACAACCATCTGATTGGTTGCCTTAATCCAATGAAATGCACAAACACATGTTACAGGCTAACTCTCATAATCCTGGGTCTACGCTGGTTACGGCCGTTTGCAACGGACCGACTTTTTTGTCAAAATTTCCGACATTTATCTTTCAAAAACTTGGAACCTGTGTGCAGTCATTTTAAACGTGTGACGTGGACTTGTGCAACTTGTGTCAAAAAAAATGACGCCGTCCGTGAGTTGTAGCGCTCACTTCGAGACAACACACACGACACAACACAAACCGCGGAAAACACGACATCATGGACACCGATATGGATATCACGACCACCCAGCGTGGCCGGCAGACCAAAACCCCGGCGAAATTCCAGCAGGCGGGCTCTCTCGTTGCCGCCGTAGGCGGTGGAGACTTGCTCTCCAGCAAAATAGTGCTGCTGCTGCCTGGCATCTCGGGGAACACTCATGTTACCACGGGAGGCGCTGCCGCCACCAACACTCAGAGCGAGGGTGGAGCAGGCCGCCGGCGAGGGGTGGCAACCACTGCTCCTACCCCCCCGGGAAAGGAAAAAACAAAGCGGCGGACGCGAAGCAACAACTGCAAGCCATCATGGCGGACCGCCGTTTGTCGGACGACACAGCAACAACAGCAGACAGCATCGTCAACGTTGGCAACAGCGACGATAGCAATAGCGACAGCGACAGATGGCTCACACACAACCCTAGCTGACTTTCTACGGTGAGGGGCACTCGTGGTGCAGACGCAGCAGCCCTCGCGTGCCTCTGCAAGGGTACTTTGGAAAGTGCTCCAAATACTTTGAGAGGGTTGTCAAAAAGTTGGAACGAAGTGGAGCAAAGTTTTCGCGCCCAACTTCGTTCCAAATATTTTTGAAAAAAATGGACAAACGCCTACATACAGGTTCCATTTTTTGACACTTTCAAAATTTTTGACAAAAAGTCGGCCCGTTTAAAACCTGGGCCCTAGGTCCGATGCATCCAGCTGGCTACATCAGCCCTAGGTCTATACGCTGCTTGGTTGGTCGGTCCAGTCGTCTAGACAGTCACTGGATGGGATTGAGACGGGAAGAAAACGAAAATGGGGAGGATTCCACGGAAGGCCCTTGATCACCACACAACAAGCGAGGTTAAACGTACAATTGTGGAAAGGGGGGAAAATAAGCACCCAAGAATATTGGATCACCTACTGCATGTTTAGCTGTGCTGGCGCATGTGGTCCCGGATGGTGTTATGGACGTGGACGTTTTATTGGGACGAGATAGTTGGTCTCATTTTCCTGTTCGAAAATACAGGGATGTAACGGATGACGAAACAATAGTAACCTTTGAAACAAATGAAGGAAAAGGAGCAGCAGTTGACCAACAATTTGCAAATTGGGTTGACAATGCAGTGGGAATGATCGAGCACGAGGGAAGTGGGAGGGTGGTCGTAAGGTGTGTGGGAAAAAAAAAGGTGGTTGCCAAATAAAATGTCATGGGTACAAGTTGAATTGACCAATCCTGACGGCAGTGAAGCGACAGAAGGAACATACCGCGTAAAATTCAAGGATAAATGGTTCCCTCAAGAAGCACTTGTAAGTGCAGGCAAATCGGAAATTCCTTTGAGACGGGTGGGGGATGCTGCATTTTTGGTGAAGTACAATGACCTGTTGGGTGCGGGTGGTGAACCCTTGGAGGTTGTTAGTATGGACGATGCAAGGCTTATTCCGAATGAAGAATATAAGGTTCACGTGGTGTCAAGTGATGCAACTGACATGCCTGCGGATGAACCCCCTGATGATGTTATGGCTGGTTTAAATCCCGCGCAACAGGTGGCATTTCGACGTCTATGGCAAAAGGTGCCCGCGCATATACGAGATGTTCGCTTCAATTTCAACGCGGAGTTGTGGGAACCCGAAGACATAATAAAGCTAAGTGATCTGTTATGCAAATATGAGCACAGATTTTCAAGGGACGGTACTGATTTGGGACAAGTAAAGGTGGATCCGTTCCGAATTATTTTGAAACCGGGAGCACAGCCGGTGAAACAACGGCCGTATCGATATTCGCCGATCATAAACGAAAAAGTGCAGATAGAAATTGACAAACTGCTGTTGGCAGGGGTCTTGCGACGATCCTACAGTAATTGGGCAAGTCCCTTGGTCGTGGTCGCAAAAGCTAATGGAGGAGTACGGTTAACTGTGAATTACAAAAAAGTGAACCAAATGAGCGTTATACCGAAACTACCGATACCAGTAGTAGAGGACATTCTGGCGGATCTGAAGTCGGCAAAAATATTCAGCACTCTGGATTTGATCAGTGGATTTTTCCAGTGTTGTATTGAAGAGGACAGCATCCCGATCACTGCAGTTATTACGGCCACCGGTTTATATGAATTCATGGCTATGCCGCAAGGATTGTCGAGTAGCCCAGGGTGGTTCCATTCAGTCATGCAACGCGTGTGTGATGGGCTGGAGAGGGTGCGATTATTCATTGATGATGTTATCGTATACTCCCGAAATGGTGCAGAACACGTGCAGGATCTGGAAAAGTTTTTCGAGCGCATGACAAAGTTCAATCTGAAGCTAGCGCCGAAGAAAGCACAATTGGGGGTGAAGGTGGTAACGTTTTTGGGACATCAAGTAACGGCTGAAGGGATCGAGCCATGTCCGAAGAAGGTGAAGCCTATGTTGCAAATGCCGATGCCAACGAATGTCAGTCAGTTACGGTCAATCTTGGGGAGTCTGTCCTACTATCGGAAATTTTTAAAGGGGATGTCTGCAAAATTGCATTCAGTCACGGCGTTGTTGAAGAAGGATGCAAAATTTGCGTTCACGGCAAAACATGCCGAGGTGATACAAGAAATGAAGGACAAACTATCCAGTCCGGAAGTGTTGGCATTTCCTGATTATGAAGGAGCAATAACAGGGAAAAGAAAGTTTAGGTTAATCACTGATTCGTCCATATCTGGACTTGGGGCAGGTATTGAACAAGAGCAAGAGGATGGCACAGTTCGACCCTTGTGTTATTTGAGCAGGTCAACGTACCCCAATGAAAGGCGGTGGAGTGCAACAGAGTTGGAGTGTGGGGCGATTGTTTGGGCTATCAAGAAAAACCGAACATTGTTTTACGGCATTCCGTTTCAAATATACAGTGATCATCAACCTCTCTCTACGCAATTTAGAGAGCTTGGCGGAAACAAATAACAGGGTTCAAAGGTGGTTTGATTTCCTGTCAGCGTATACATATGAGCTGATTTATCGGCCGGGCAAAGCAAATGGCAATGCAGATTGTATGTCTCGTTTACCCTTGCCGCCGATGGAGGAAGATGCATCGCCCGAAATGCGATTAACTGATCCGTCCGATCTGGATGTGTATATGATAGGTGCAAGCGGAGTGATTCCTGCGAGAATGGGTCCTGTCTTGGGTGGGCGAAAACGTCCGACGCAAGCCGACCCTCGCAAGAATTTTGTGTTGGGGGAAGATGACCATCAGCCGTTCACGACCGATGAAGAGGCAGATAGGACGTGGCAGGTGATTCAGCAGCACAGAGAAACGATGGCTCTAAGGGTGGAGGATGAACCGAAACACTTTGCGTTGAAAGACGATACTCCACTGGTAGATCCAGGGAAAATGGTGGTTAGTGGCCAATGGGAATCAGGTTTAATACTGCATGCAGTCCCGATGACAGAGGTGGGAAGATGTTTGTTGGGAATGGGAGTTATCAAAAAGCAACGAGACAAAAGAAAGAGAGTCATGGTGATCAACTCAAATGAAGGAGGCTCAGCAGGTGGTGGATCTGAAGCTGAACCAGTGATGCGATCTCAAGGGTCACAATTAGAGGGTTGGAACAGCAAGGAAGCCAAAGAATTTGGAGAACGGTTGTGTGAAAAAACGGCCAGCGATTGGGTCGAAGCGCAATACAAAGACCTGACAGCAAAGGCAGCACTACAGCTAATTACAGATGAGGTTGAAGTACATAAAATAGGGGAAAATGACATACCTGAAGGGGTGGATATTGATGATATTAAACGGTTGGTCGCGCAAGGAACGATCATGGTGTTGGCTGATTCACGTAAATTGCTGGTTCGTCGTGCGACGCGTGAACCATCAAACAGGCCAAACCGAAATCCGGGACAGTTCGACAGGCTGTTGGGGGATGAACCTGTAAGGACATACGTGCCTCTGATGTTACGACCTTGGGTGATGGACTGCGCACACAAAGAAGCAGTACACCTAGGTGAGAAGGTGACGTTAAGCATTTTGCAACGATTGTATTGGTGGGTGGGAATGGCGGAGAGTGTGAGATGGTGGTGTCGTAGGTGCTATTCTTGTCAATTCAGAAAAACACCGAGGTACACGAACCTATGGCCATTGGTGTCATTACCTTTGCCAAGTAGGCCCGGACAGATGGTATCTTTTGACTATTTGGGTCCATTGCCGAAAACGAAGAATGACTGTGAGTACATTTTTTTGGTGGTGGATTTATTCAGTAGGCATGCGGAAGGGTACTCTCTGCAGAAAGGTGAAAAGAATGCAAAAGGATTTGTGGCAATCTTGGTAAATGAATACATACCAAGATGGGGTTGTCCACACACATTCTTGTCGGATAGAGGACCGGAATTTGCTACAGGTGTGGCGAAAGGGGTGTATAAAATGCTGGGATCAATCAAGAAGTTCACTAGCTCCTATCATCCCCAAACGAATGGAATGGTGGAAAGGTTAAATCATACTATGTGTCAAATGTTGGCGCACCTGGTGGCGGATAATCAAAAAGATTGGGACGAAATGTTGCCACACGCAATTTCGGCGCACAATAATAACGTGAGCAGAGGAACAGGGCTTGCACCAAATATGGTACACATTGGGCGGTATCCAAGACTGCCGATGACCATTTTGGAAAGAAGGGGTACGAGGGGGATACAAGGGTTAAAAAGGGATCAACTTGACTATTTGGATCTGGTCAGAGACCGACAAGTGAAGGCATATGAGTTGGTCCGTGAGGAGGATGAGATCACGAAGCAGAAACATCAGGAAAGGAATAAGCAGATAGGGGAAGTAATTGGCAAAAGAGCAAAGTTTGAGAAGGGCGATTGGGTCCTAGTGTATGACGATAAAAGCACAATTTCAGGAGGGGGAGAACACGTGTTAAAATCGGCACTGGATTACAATAGAGGAGGAAAATCGTACGCGTTAATCGGTAAACTAGCACATTGCTGGACGGGTCCCTACAAGGTATTATTTGTTGGACCAGGAAAAGGACCGGATGACAAAGAAGTGGGACCCAAGGTTTTATTACTCGAAATAAGTAAGGATGAGCCAGGGAAGGGGATTAATGAGAGGGTGTCAGTGCATCGATGCAAAAAGTGTTACAATGCGTTTGACAAGGCGGACAAACCTAGGTTTTTACCTTGGGCACTGAGCACGTATGTGTTGAACAGATACTCGGAATTGGCACCTCCCTTCCATCTCACAGAGAACGATGTTGAGGAAGAATTGGACAGACAACGGCTAAATCCATATAAACTTACGAGGCATCGCATTTGCCGAGGGATCAGTGGAAAGATCGCTGTACAATATTACACGCATTGGACGGGATTGGAAAAGTGTACTTGGGAACATGAGGTGGAATTGGAACAATATGGCGATGTGGTGATGAAATATTGGGCACAACAGCCAGAACAAACCGCAGGAGGAAATGCCATGTATCGGAGGTACAGAGTGCAAGTGGCGAAGAGACTAGCTGCACACAAAGTGGGGGAAAGACATGTGGCGAAGGGTTACAAGTTATGTTGTGATGTCAGAGGGAGACCTGATATTTCAACTGCTGACCTAATCGGATCGTACATCTATTACAAAACGAAACGAGCAGGGTGGCAATTTGCGGTGGTGACACAAGTGGGGGTGGATCAAGCAACTGGAAAGACAAGGCACACGATCAAGCTGCTGGACGTCGGAAAACACATCAACGTGGAGCTAAAGGAGAGCGCGCTAACAACGGATAATCTGGTGCAGCAACCTGGAACTTGGTGCTGGCATGCTCATGCTACCAACAAGTCCGTGAAGAAATACATGTTTGCATTGGAATCATGAGTGGTAAGGATGAGACGATAGTTGCAAGAGTGAGCGCAGGAAATATGGTGGGAATTGACTGGAACAGAAAGAAGAGTGAGGGATTGAAGGAAGGTTTGTATGGAAGGAACTGTAGGCAACAGGCATGAGGAGGACATGGACAACAATGAGAAGCCTTTTTGAGTGTACGACATGAAAGTTGAGAGCGAAAGGTTGATTGGAAGAAGATTGAGAAGAGTATTATGTAGTCAATTGAGAAGTGGTTTATGTGGGGTTGACAGCATATCAAACAGGATTGTTGGGATCACGACTGCTGTAGATTGATGAAACGTAATTGTAGAGATTAACAATGAGCTGAGTCGGCAGGAAAACGGGTATGCATGCTTTGCTGCGAGGAGGATCAAGGAGCAGAGTTGAGGATTGGGCATGAGGAAGATGTGTAGCAGATTGCACCTTGTGGAGTTGTTTCTGTGTACAACTTATCTTTAGAAAGGTTGACACTGAATCAGGGTGGGCGAATGTGGTGCAATCGGGCCGCTTTTCTTGGAACTGTGGAATTACCGGGTAACTACGGTTAATAGTGTGGTATGGGACAGGGCTGGTGTAAACTGAGTGCAGCCAAGCGTACTACTTGGAAAGAGAGCAGGTGGAAAAGAGCGGGACATGTTTGAAAGGATACTGAACTATCGGGAAGTTGTGAGGCGGATTGGTATATATAAGGGAAATAAGTTGAGAGATTCGACAGGTCTTTTGAGAGGAGGATTGGATAGAATCTTAGATTCTCGGAATGCAAGTATGGACTGTCAGCAGAGTTGTGTTAAGAGTAGGATTTTGAAAAACTGTGGACATGTGTGTGGACGAAGAGACACCCCCAAGTGGTCAGTCTGACCCGCCCGGAGTCTTCTCCCATGTTGTCCCGATATGGTCAGAACTTCTAATAACACGACACTTTGATCGCAGCTCTACTGGACTTAAAACATTACCAGGACAAGAACCTCGGCATTCAACACAAATACGTACGCGGTGGGTAGCGCACCCCGATCCCCCGATAATAGAATCGGTCGTTCTTGTACACAAAAATAATGGTATATGACAATTGTTGTTGTCTTCACATTAAAAGATAATCACAAACCATTGGATGCTGACAGAGGATCGCAGAGCTACGCGAGCCTACCCGTGGTTTTCAAAGTATGCAGGCGTACATGGAGCATTCCGGGGACAATTTAGGCCCCTTTTCCGCCCCACCTTGCGCCCCACTTTCATCACGCTCGCATACGACAACCGGGGTGGAGCCCGCTGTCGTACTCGCAGGGCAGGACCACACCATCACAAGGGAGGTTATTTGCCAGGACAGCGCGGGATTTATTCACGGTGAGTCCTTGTGGGATGACATCGTGAGGGCAAGACCCCGGGGTAGGTTCGAGCCGAAATCCGACTACCCCGCACGTCGCAGGCAGGTCTGTCTCGCTGGAGTGGGGGCACTTCCTGCCGTCGCGTGTGCCGTCAGTACATGTCTCAGGCTCTCTTGGAAAGAAATCCGTTTGGAAAATGGTCTCGTGTACTCGCAAAAAATGCGGATCATAATCTCACACGCCAGCGAGGGACCCTCTCCCACAGCAGCAGCAGCAGCAGCGATTGTTTTTGATTTCTATTGACTTGCGGACCCCTCGGGGCCATTTTATTTAGTGTACCTTTTTAGGGGAAGTTAGCCTGCGACCACGGGAATCGACCACGCGAGTTTTGGATCAGTACGGACATACGAAGGTATTGGGTAGAGAGAGATCGGAACGGTTTTTAATGTGAAGACAACAACAACAANGATGCATGAAATGATACACTCTGTCTTTACTTATGGTCCGCGCTGCCTAGAAATAAATGGGAAATGTAGCTATAACTTCTGCCGACACACGGGCGAGAGAGGCGACCATACCCACTGCATTTAACACACACCCACATTTTTTGTTTTGTTGTTGTTTCTCACACTAGCTCTGTAGTCCACAAAAAATGGGGAGCCCGTGGTCTCAAAACCCGGCACATACGACGCCGCGGGGAAACAAAACAAAAATAGGGTACAAACCACTCGGAAAAAGAAAACAAAATGATATAAAGAAAGAAAGCAACAGGTATCGCACCGACCGTTCGAGAAAAGAGCACTCGGAAACCGATCAAAATGAAACAAAAACAAAAACAAAGGAGGACGCTTCCTACACCCACNACCCAACACAGCAGAGTAGGCAGGGAGGTCATGACAAAAAGAAACACAGCGCAGAGGCCGAAGGTAATACAAAGGACATACAAAAGGAGTATAGCATACAGCAGGGAGGGAAACAGGGCGCAACAACATCAGCCGGGTACATAGTTAGCCACAAGTGCTGCCTCGGCCGCCCTACTCGCTTCTACAGCAGTGCCCGTTCGCCGTTTCTTCCCCCCCACCGCCGCTTCGCCGGTTCTCTTTCTCTTCGGTCCTGAGATGGTCGTACTCTCTGCTTCTGCTTCCCGCGCGCGCTGGCGCTTCGCGGACGCTTCCGCCTCCTGCCTGTGCCATTTCCTCATGAACCATGCCGCCCCGTCCTCGACCTTGTTGTACCACACCTCCGGGTCCTTGGCGCTCTCTTTCCATCCTTTTCGTCTCCCATGTTGAAGGCCACGAGGTTATCTCCTAGACGAGACACCCAGTCGCTCTCCTGCCCGCCCCGGTATCCCAGGCCCCCCGCCATCGCTCCTGCGCTTAGGGAGGCGGCTTTCCTCCATGCGCATAACAAAGCCCGCGAAACACAGTCTCCGTTTGCG